GGGTCTTTTAAATATCTGGTTTCTTCAAAGAATTAAATACGTGCCAACTTGAGTCAGGAAGAGAAATGTCAGCTCAGCCCATAGCAGCTGGTGGCTTCCCTGGGAAGGAAGGGGCTGCTTAGGAGTACAGTAGCAAGCAAACCCCTCAGTGCCTCACGAAATCACTAGTGGGAAAAGAACAAAGGCCTTTCCAATGCGACCAACACAGATGTGCCCAAAGGCGCACTGTCAGAAACAGTTAAGATGACAGCTACTCACAGTTCATTATTTCCCTCTCACAGGTCACTGGGTGACAAGCTGGGTCAGCATGCTTTGTTGGCTGTCCCAATCCTTCCCCACCCCCTATTCATGCTAAATACTGTTAAGGGGGTCCTTTGGCTAAACTAATGTAAACAAACACATTTCAGACACTTGAAGATGCCGGAATATGGCATTTATTTTACTTCGGACTAAATCTGGGATTACATGCATGCACAACTTACTTTATTCAAGTAAGAAGGGAGCAAAAATATTCTGCTAAGGTAACTAAAGCAAACAAGAACATATCTCCTCCCAAGAACTAATACCTTGCATGCAAGACCTAATATAAGCAAGAGATTTTTCTTTTTTCAATGGGGAACAAAGATTTTTTTTTTCCATGTTAAAACAGAAAGGATTAACAATCAGATTGTTCTCCTGTGAGTTAGAAATGTAACTTAATTGAAATGATTCTCCTGGTGGGAGAACCTAGGTTTTTGTTTGCTTGTTTGTTTGTTTGTTTGTTTTTTAGAATGTGGGGTGAGTTTGCAATTAAGTGTATAATTCAAAATAATATACCAAGCAAAATGCATTAGTCTAATCTACTTTTTCATGAAATAACACAACATAAAATTTAGCTAATGGTTTAATATGGCTATCAGTATGGTGCTGTTTTGTTATGGAATCAATAAATAAAATTTAGTGGGAAAGAGAAAAGTAGTTGAGAGATCCACACAGGTATTTATTCAAGTCCTGACACTCCCTCAGCCAGCTTCCTAACTGCATATTATGTGGCTGCTTTAAACTTGCATTTTTAAAAAATATTTTATTTATTATTTTTATTTTATGTCTATGAGTGTTATGCCTGTATGTAGGTAAGCGCACCAGTGTCATGCAATGCCTGTGGAGGACAGAAGAAGGTGTCAGATCCCCTGGAACTGGAGTTATGGAGACTTTTTAGCTGCCATGTGGGTGCTGGGATTGGAACCCGGGTCTTCTGCAAGGTCAGTATTCATAACCGCTGAGCCATCTCTCCAGCCCCTAAACTTGTATTTTAATTGATTTTAAAAGTAACTACATCCATGCTGGAGACATGACTCAGCAGTTAAGGGCCCTGAGTGCTCTTGCAGAAGACCCAGCTTGGAATCCCAGCACTCACATTGCAGCTAATAACCATCCATAACTCCAGTTCCAGGGAATCCAACACCTCTTCTGTCTTCCTCGGGCATTGTACAATAAGGGTGTGATTATATATTGCACGACAGGGTGCACTTATACATGCAGACATAACACTCACACACACAAAATGAAAAATTTTTAAAAAGTAACTACATCCCCAGGTTATGATGTCAATATATAAATCAACTTCTCATGGCGATAGGATAAAACTGTGTAGCAGAGTCATGGTCACAAGGTAAGTATCCAATAAACCATAGCTCTTAGTTTCCTGTCGCCAAATTTAATTTATACAAAACTGAGTTGAATCACTAAGGCCTGAAGTGTCTTAAATAATCATGAAAGTTATAGTCATTATTGGGAAAGGACTTTTGAAAATCTAATTAATTCAAGGTCAAGCCTCTGTAAAGCAGTAGATCTAGAGAGCAGATCTACATATTTAGATGCAACCAGAAGTTAGGGACTGAGTTTCCTTTAATGTTTCCTACCTCTTCTTTAGTCTTCACCCAAACCTGAGCTTATTACTTGCTCTTTTATTATTCCTTTTCCAAATTATTCTGCCTGATTTGATGGTTTCCTTTTCAAGATATCCAAAACGGCTGAAGATGTGGAACGACTGCTAATACAATAGGATGAATGGTCAAGCAGTTCACCATAGAGGTTAAGAGCAAGACTGTGACTCCGATAGGCCTGCCTTAAATTACTGCGAGTCTTCAGTCAAGTGGTTTAGTCTCTGTTTCTCGGTGTTCTGATCAGCCAAACAGATGAACCTTGTGTTACTGCACAGGTTATTGGAAAATCACACAAGTACAGCACTTGAGTAAAGTCAGTAAAGCTCAGCTGTTATTATTTATAGCTTAATGGCACCTGCCTAATAGTCCCATATTACCGTTACCTGCCACTACTGCCCATTCTCTTTTTCTCTCCCCCAGTTTGACTACTGTGGTTCTCTCCTTCCTTGGCCACATCTAGGGAAGTATATAAATCTACATTTCTCCACCATTTGGCTATTTACAGTTACGTATTGTTTGTTCAGATTAATTGTTCCCCCATGTTTTCCTTGATGTTCTAAAATCCTATTTCTTTTTCCCATTTCCACAACTCAGATCATTTTAAATAGTTCTATATTTTCTACAGTGATGCTTTTCCTTGAGTTGAATTAACATTGAGAAAAACCAAGAAAATATAAAGCTTTCTCTGCATTGATTCTCTTACATTTGGAATACACATAAGCGTAACAAAACAGGTAAGGTTCAAAGTCATTGTCACATAAAATTCAACACCACCTTCTAATTTTGTCTTACAGTTCCTCCAAATATAAGAAAAAAGTAATTGTTGTAAGTGCTCCACTCTTTATACAAAACAACTGTGTTAAAGAACAAAAAGAGAGGGAAGAAACTAGAATTGCATCTGCCAAGTTGGGTTGTGAAAGTGGAGGGGCAGAAAGTCCATCAGTATCTGTGGCCTTAAGGCTAAAAAGGCAAGAAAAATGTATAGAGTCTAAAACATAAGTTCTCAGTAATGTCCACTGAGAAAAGGCCCCTGAGAAATTTCTTATGTAAAGGAAATCACAAATACATTTACCAGTCAACTCCTGTTGACTTAAATAAAACAGAAGCCTATATAGCAGGCCTCCCTTTCCATATGTGCCAAAACTTTGTGAACGCCTGAAAGTGTGTACAGAACTAAACTCCAAGGTAGAGAGATGGCTAGGTGGTTAAAACACTATGGACCATGGGTGACCAGAGGTTCCAGAAACTATGAACGAGCAGGAATGATTATACAACACTTATTAAGAAACTTTCTTTATAAAGTGTACAAAAATTCAATAAAAAACATACTGGAGAAAAAAAATTTGTATCCCTGTTTGTTTTAGGATCATTTTCAGATATAACACTTGTTGAATGCCACTGATTTCTCGGACATTCAGAAGAATCTCGTTCAACTCTACCAATACGCATATGGCATATTAGCTAACAGTACTTTTTGCAGTTGAAAAGGACGGGAGGGGGACTTTATTTTTTCTACTACTGTATGCCTTTCTCCAGTGTTCACTTATCAGACTGATCTGACTGTATTACCTTGAAGAAGACAAGACACCAGAATGAAGGTGCACAATCTCTGTCTTCCCTTCAAAGATAATATCTCCAGCCTCAGGAAGGGGAATTCATAGAGAAGTGAATGAGTTTCCACAGGGACCAGGATCAGTGTGGTAAAAACCAGAAATCCTATACAGGGTACAGGAATCTGAAAGCAGAAACAATCTGTTTCTCATTCCAGAGTAGAGCCCAGGATAAGAATGAAAGCCCTAGATGATAAAAATCCAAGCATTCTTCCAAAAAGGATAGAGAAAAGGTGGTGGCCATGTACGTCCAGGAGGACAGTCTGACCACTGCATCACAGAGTGAATCAACACATTCTCAATCCTCTGCAGCTGAATGAGTTCCCATTTTAGATGTCCAAGACTGCTCCCAAGGGAATTTCAACCCAGTGACATGGGAGTGGCCAGCCATGTGGCTGCAGCCTGTGGTTACCTACAGAACATGATAAAGCTGGGTGATTATAAACTAAGTACCAGCCAAAGAAGTTCTGGAAATGAAACTTTGATGCCATCCAGGACACCCTCATGCTATGACAGAGTAAGATACTAAATTTGTTAATTTGTTTCTGAACCTTATCATCCAAAATAACAAGTGCAAATAATATAGACAGAGTCACTTTTAGTATTAGGAAAAATTACTCCCCTCCTGCCAAAATCCTAGGTGTGACTATATAATTTAAGATGCAGAATAGCCTCTATTTAAAATTTAAAAGTTGCCAAGGTTTTATTTTTCCCTTTGAATACAAACAACATTTCTGCCTGGACTATTTAAAGTTAGGGTTCCTTTAAACAATAACAAGTAAGAAAGCTGTTTTATTCTTTTAAGGGCATTTCAATCAACAGTAATTTTAAACAATTACAGATTAAGATTAGAAAGTCATTTTGTGATTTTCAACATCAAAACAAATAAAACAGTGGTAATAACAAATTTTGGTTCCCAAATAAGTGAAAGGAATATGAAAAAAATGTTTTTATTTTCCAACCAAGGATAATTTTGCATGTTACTAAGCCACTGGTGTGACTTTTATGCTGTCTATGGAAACAGTGCTAATTTGTTAAGGCGTCACTGCTGAAGACTATCTATTATGCACTTACCCTTAGATCCAAGTATAATGCACTCTGCATGGAAAATCAAAAGGGTTGCTTATATGTATGCCCTTCTTAAAGATCTCTTGGCCTCTTCAGAACTAGATATATGCTCAGTACTGCCTTCACTTAATTATGCTATTTCAGTGTATTTTGGTGAGATTTGAAGACAGCAATCTATCCTAAGTATCTAAGTACCCTTATAAATGATTATGTACATCCATCTTCAACAAAATACACGTCACCTCTCTTCATCAGATGTGACCCTGACACTGTTATGCTTGAAAGCCAAGGGGCTTCTGAGATATTTCAACCATCTTCAAGAAATCATTCTTACATGAAACTGAAGGCAAACATCGAATGTCATTGAGCAATAAGCTCAGTTCTGTCAGGGCCCTACCTCTGAGCAGATGCCTTAGGATGTTTCTCTTCCAGTTTCTTTACCAGAGCCACTGTCAGCTGCTCCGACTCCTCAAGAGACCCTTCTGGCACTACATGGGTGTTGGAGGGCTCCGGCAGGTGCTTCAGAGAAAGACTGGCAGCATGCTTCTGTGAAACCTAATGAGAGACATATAGGAACAGTGTAGTGAATTTTTATTCAGTTCATTTCATTTCATCTAAGACGCGTGCTCAGAACCTGACAGTATGCTTCTTGTGGTTCTTTTTTTCTTTTCATATAGCACCAGATCATTGTTCATTATGGTGAGAGCAAATGAAGGCAATGTATGTACAAGGTAGTGTATCACTACTTACTTAATGAAATGATGCTTATACGAATAACATGTGATGATCTTATCAATATAAATGTGCCTAACAATACTGCATCATTATGTGATTTTAAACAATCAATAACATTGTAATGTAAGTTCGGGCTTGTGTCCTGAAAATAACTTCAACATAAAGACAATAAAGACAATCTTCATCTTTAGACAGATATTAAAATGTGAAAACCATACTGTAGGACTGGGGAGATGGCTCAGTTGGTAAATAATGTACTTACCTTGCAACAATGAGGACCAGAGTTTGACCCTAGAAATGGGTTACCTCTTTTGGAGTTGTCAGTGAGGTCTCATAGAAGCCCCCAAACATTACAGGCTATTGTAAATGCTATTAGTTACCTGCACTAGTGCTAAAGGCACCACTTACTTGAGGCACAGAACATGAAAATCAAGAGAAATCAAGCTGGTACTGACTTGAAAGCTTCATCCCTACTGGCTAGCTTTCATAGTGCAGGAATGTGTTATGTACACAACTCCAGGAGAAAAGTAATCATCTATCTTACCCAGCTGTGAATTCTGTGAGATGCAATAACAACCAACCTGATGAGACAAGCCCACTGGTGCAATAGTGGCACAAATGTTATGGGAGTAACAAAACACTTTCTTTTTAAAAATTACTTTATATCTTTTTTTTTTTATTTTATGAGTGTATTTTCTGCATGTATTTAAGTGCACCCATGTTTTGCAATACTTGCAGAAGTCAGAAGAGGGCATCAGATCCCCAGGACCTGTAGTTACAGATGGTTGTTAGTACCATGTGGGTGCTGGGAACCAAATCCAGGTCCTCTGCAAGAGCATCCAGTGCTCTTAAGCACTGAGTCAACTCTCCAGCCCCACAAAACACTTTCTGATTGGACTTAATGCCTGCTTTACAAGATAAAAACCCATAACTGGCACCATTATCATTGGCAAGAACCTGTGGCTAGATAGGTGGTAGGCTTCAGGGAAGAATCTATTACAAGTGTACATAGTATTGAGCCAATTCCTAATGACTTATTTTTATATCCATCAATTAATGCATCTTTCAACTCTCATCATAAGCTACTTTTGGCAGTAGATGGAGATTAATACAGAGATCTACAGTTGGTCAAGATGTGGAAATACTTCAGAATGCTCAGCCTTAAATGGGACACCTGTATCACACCCTCTTATCCCAAGGCTCAAGGATCATTGCAGAAGAGAGGCAGAAAGACTGTAAGAATCAGAGGCAGTAGATGACTAGAAAAAAAAATAGTGGTTTTTGATCCAACAGAACAAGTGCACATGTGAACTCACAGTAGTTGTGACAGTGTGCACAAGACCTGCACAAGATCAAGCCAGACAAAATCCCCACATTGAGTGGGAGTGTGGGCATGATGACCCACCCTAGTGAGGAACTATTGACAATTGGTAACTTCTGGGAAGGGAGGTGTCAGTTTTCTTTAAGAGTGTGGCCCTGATAGGTCAACCACACTCCACTGATGGTCATAAACCCATAGGCAGCATAAATTGGAATTTAAAGAAAAAGAGGACATAAATTTGGGTGGGCAGGGATGGGTATATGGACCTTGGGAAAGCTGGAGATCAAAATACACAGTATGAAACTCTGCGAATTAATTAAAACACTTTTTAAAAACCAGGTATGGTGCCATATGGGCAAGTGGAGATGGGTAGATTCTTGGGTTTGCTGGCTGGCCTCTTGGTGATCCCCAGATCAGTGAGAGAGCTTATCTCAAAAACAAACATGCAGCTCCTGAAGAATAACTCCAAAAGTTGTCCTCCACACATATGTATATATAGGCACACACACCAACATGAGCACTGCACACACATACACACAAATAATTCTACATTAATAGCTAGAATTTTCATTTCTATTTTCAAAATATGACTGTGAGCTAAATATATGTACACATATATAAAATATGCAATGTGCAGTTGCTATATTTCCTGGGAATACTTCATTCTTTTCTACAACAGCCAAGAGAATTCAGAATGGATAAAATAGCTGTGTTAAGTGAAGACATATTAATTACCTAGCAAGTATCATACACAGACTAAGAACATGTGTCTATCAACATAAACAAAACAGATACTAAATAACCATGATTTATTTAAATAAGAGCAAAAGCAGCAAACATTTTTGATTTACAAATATAAATACACCTATCTGGGACACATAATCATGGTCTGTTTAACTAGCCACCCACATTGTGCATTGCTGGCTCTTATTTGGGAAGCCTCCATCATTGCGCATCAGACTAACTGAGAACACCAACACTGACCAAGTGTATCTGCACATGAGCTCTCCTGGAGCAAGAGTGCCATTGTCCCTGGAATCCCTTGGGCCCCTTCCTCAAATTTCATTATCATGAAAGAATGATACATCCCAGAGAGAAGATCAGCATATTACAGAACAAGACTTGGGAAGTATGACCTAATCTACTTGTTCCTTACCTTTACTTACAGACCTTTACATAATCCCCTACCACATTATACCAGGGCCCATCTATGTGAACCAAGAATTTTTTCAGAAGTGGTAAGTCATGCTTCTAAGATGAGGTCATAAGAGATGCATAGCTTCTATTTTGCTCCTTGCTTCTCTCTTTCATACTCCAGTAGCTCATGCTATGAACACCACTGTGAATAGCCAACACGGCAAAGGATAATTCCTCTGTGTAGCAGCAGTTGTGTGAGTGCGTACAGAAGCTGACCTTCGAGCCTTGGTCAAACTTCAGATGACTGCAGCCCATGGTCAACATGTTGGCTCCAATCTCACGAGAAACTAAGTTAAAACTACCCAGTAGAGCCACTTCTGATTCCTGAGCCACAAAATTTTGATGTAATGAATGTCTACTGTTCAAGCTTACTATGCTTTAGAGGTAAGTTATTATACAGCAACAGAAAATAAATACTAATCAGGAGTGAGCATGTTTATTCTCTACCATCTTTATCAACTCTAGAGTTTCCTAGTTTTACATGTTCCTATATCTCATAGGGTGAACATTCTACCACACTATTTGACAGATTTTTCTAAGTGAGCAAAGGAATGGTAAACACTAAAAACAAAGGAAAAGAACACAGTTATCCACATAAAAAATCATAAAAAATCAATAAATGTATTTAAAGTTTTTCATTATTATTATTATCATTAGCTACAAATTACCAATCTTCTCTAATCAATCAGGATCTGTGCCAAATACTAAAAATGCTAATATTAAACTCTCCACTTTGGAGATGTAGAATGTGAAGTTTAGAAAGGTTAAATGACTTGCATAAGGCCACACAGCTTATAAGTATTGGAGCCAAGATTCGTTATTAATATCCTATAGCAAAAATTCCACCATTTAAAACAGTAAATGGCATGAGCCCCATTTATGATCCAGCTGCAGATAATTACCAAATTATACTCCATTTTATCGTTAAATAGATGGAAACGGTCTTGAGTATTACTAAATTTCAAGCTAGTTGAAATTTCTAAACCTTCAAAAGAATAAAATGCTTCATTAATAAATAGTTTTTCCTCTGTGAATTTATAATAATTATAGTACAAAAATATCAGCAATCACATTTGGGAATAAATTTTTTAAAATCCAAGCCTGCTTAAAACTAATTTGTGAGGTTTAAAACGTTTCATTTATTTATCTGTATTTTAAGCATATGCGTGTTTTGCCTGCATGTCTGTAAGTGCACCATATTTGTACAGGGTCCACAGAAGACAGAAGAGGACACTGGATACCCCCCAGAACTGGAATTACAGAAGGTTGTAAGCCACCATATGGGTGCTGGAAACCAAACCCAGGTCATCTGCAGAAGCAGCCAGTGTTCTTAACTGCTGAGCCATCTCTCCAGCCCTGATTTGTGTTTTTAGTAGAAAATCAGACATCACCTGCTAGCTCATGATACACAACTGAGAATAATTAGACACATAAATTGTGAGAAAAGGAGAGGTACAAAGGACAGTAGAACAGAAGTGAACACTTAATTTCTGTGTAAATCAGACTTTCATCACTGTGGCAACATATTGTAAATGACTTCAGGGAATAAGGATTCCTTTTGGCTCATCCATGGTCATTTGGCTCTGTGCTTCTGGATCTGCAGGGAAGCAGAACATCATGGCAGAAGGGTGTGACAAAGCAAAGCTTCTCACTTTTGCAACAACCAGATAGGAGACTGCAAGGGGAAAGCCAAGCACCACACCTACCTTTCAAGGAGCAGATCTGTCAGTGATCCAGTTACCCAACCAGGCCTTTCACAGTCTCCATCACTGCCTAAGAGTCTATGCAGTTTATTCCTTCTGTGGATGAATCAGTTGATTAGATCAGAGTCCTCATGATTTACTCACCTCTCAATGGTCTACTAGCTGGGGACCAAGCCTTTGGGAGGACACTTCATACACAAGTCAGAACAAGCACTCACATTTTGGGAGAAAAAGATAACAATGCACCTACATCTTGTTTCTCTTCCACATCTCTTGGTAGGGAAAGGGAGATCTATTTCTAAGAATTACTTTAAAAAGTGCTCAACATCCTTAAGAATCAGGGAAACACAAATTAATAGAATTAAGGATGTTTTAGAAAGATATATGGGCACTTACAAGCTTTTTATTTAAAAAAATTACACATTTTAGGGGCTGGAAAGATGGCTCAGCAGTTAAGAAAACTGTCTATTCTTGCAGAGGAACTGGTTTCAATTCCCAGAACCCACATGGAGGTTAACAACTGTCTGTAACTCCAGTTCCAGGGGACTCTGACACCCTCTTCTGACTTCCATGGACATTGCTCAACACAGGTGCATTTA